CATTAATTTAATAATTTAATAAATTGAGTCAAGCCCCAGATATCCCACACGAGGCTAGGCATGTGAGAGGTTGGTCCCACCAGGCTGTTGCTTGGAGCGGCCCGCAGGCCCACATACCCACCACAGCCAGGATGGATCGGAACCTCTATTAGAAAACAGGCAAGTGTTCTTTTGAAGATGTCCACGGATGTACCGGCAATATGTCTTATGTTCGCAGGTAGGACGATTAACAACCACAGACCTCTGATGTTTATACAGTGTTCCACGATTGTGCCTATGGCACCACTGCCCTCCACTGGTACTATCCTGCATGTTCTTCCATATAGGCGGGACCAAAGAGCCAGAGCTCAAACCCCGCAAGCACAACCAGGCGAGCCCAACCAGGTGAGTACATAACCAGCACCACAACCCACACACCTCATAACACAAAAGAGGTGGGTCCCCTGAATGACTCTAGCATGGGCTGGACATGCCTATGAGTGGGACTGGAAGGGTTGAAAAGGGACAGTCACCGGTGTGCCGACGTCCTGTGTACATAAATATACCTAAATAAAGACTGGAATATAATCATCTCCGCAGCCATTGCCCGGCCGAAAGACACCAGACAGCAGAAACTCACCTGTCGAACAAAGGCATGAACGTGACACGACCCAACAATGCCAAGAAGATCCTGGGAGCACCGCCAGGTGGAGAAGCCAGAGCCGGACACGCAGGAGAGCAGGGTAGAGGCGAAGGAGGAGGCCCACATCCATGACACAGGGAAAACCTCGGAGTCGTCCTCACAGCTGCATTCCAGGACACCCCCAGAGCGACGGGGCACATATCGGAGAAGGAAGAAGAGAGAGAGGCGAAGCACCCGATAAAAAAGGGCGAAAAACACCAGCATTGAAACACACTGCCCAGACCAAAAGAACTCCCACGGCGCATGCGCAGGACACGCTGGCCGAACCGCACAACCCACTCTGCGGGAAGGTGCTAACTATGACTACTGCACAAGAAAAGTAGCCAAACAGAATGCAACCTTAGGGAACCACTAATTAGAAAAACAACCCATCACACGGGATAGGAGCCAAAAGAGGAAGCAGCGACAACATAACTGGCCAACGAAGCAAAGACAAGGAGCCCAATGGGAACTCAACCAGGCCACGAGTAGCCCAACTAGGCTACAAGTAACCCAATCCGGCGACCCAGACAAGGAGCCGACAGACGTTCCAATAATATTGAAAGTAGCGAAAACCTACCCGATCCCTCGAGAACACAGAAGCAAACACCAGTCCCGAAGGCACACAAAGGCACAATCGCACACGAGACCAAAAGTCATGTAGAACCCCAATAACGGGGGAACATGACGAAGATACCCCATCCCAAAAAGAAAAGGGGGAAGCAATGGAAAAGAGCACCCATCTACAGGACGGAACCAACTGACTCAAAGGACAAGGAACCGAGCCCAGGGAGGGGCCGACGCCCAACAACTCGTACAGCGAGGGGGGAGGAAAAACCCCACTCCGCACAACCGCAAGTCCGGCCTAGAGGGGAGAAAAAAACCCACGGGGTCTTATGGGGCCTAGGCCCCCGAAGTCAGCCCTTACCCAGCCCCAGGAACCCACACGACAGCCCTGGGGCCGAGCTGTCCCCCCAAAGCCCTGGCCGTACCAGAAAACCGTGGCAGCTGTGAAAATACTAAGGAAGTGAGCCCACTGGCAGACTTACAACACAGCTGGAGAAACAGGCTCAAATGCCCACATCACTACCCTGGAAGGGGAATTCCCCCGAGACCTACCGAGTCGCAAAACCATCGAACCCCACCCAGAACCTACAGACGGTAAGGAACCGGATGCAGGCAGGAAGGGGGGATCCAGGGAAAAGGCAAAGGGGCGTGGAAGGAACCGAAGCAACCAACACCCCCAAAGTCCCAACACGAACCAAAACGGGGCAGCCCCAGGGCTCCCGGGGAGCAAACAAACAAAGAGCTTTGCCACCACCAAAGCTCAACGTGCAACGTCCCTGCTGCCTGCACCCGCTTAGTCAGCACACAACTGGGTAACCGAGCCACAACGAGCAACAAAACTCGCAGGACTCCGGGTCGAAGATATCACCGACCCCACAGGCAGCAGACGGAGGCAAAACAGAGTCACCGTGAGACAAGGGGTGAGAGCAACCCTTAAACTCACTGGAAGCGAGTGGGGACTCCGGGGTCACATCCATCGGACCCGCGCGCCCCCAGGGGTTTCCCAGGGCCCCGAGCATTTACTATAATAGGACTCGCGCTCAAATAATCCCAGGCAGGGTACTGCTAACCAGCGCCCAAAGCTACCAAACAACTTTCTAAGAACTGAACCCCCGGGACGTGTACACTCACGGGGACCTAGCAGGGGGAACCACCAGAATAATACTCAGAACACAAGGGACACAGGGAGCAAGTACGAAGGCAGACCCCCACCAGGTAAATAAAAATAAAACCCCGCAAGAGGACAGCGTACCCAGGCGGAACAGAGCCGGCCGCCGTATAAGTGAAAACAGGCTGCGCAGCACCCTGTGCCCTACCAGTGCAAAACTGCCCCTTACCCTAAAGCGAACAGGGAAGACAGAACACTCGAGCACACAAAGAGCGGCCGAAAACCAAGCAGTAAAAGGCTTAGCAGGGTAGGACCCAAGGATCTTGTGGAAGGTGGCCCCAAGCCCCAAGGGCAGTACTTATAGGGCACCTAGGGAAGGGAACCCTAGGTGCATGCAGCCTGAGTACTGGAGACTCACTCTCGGCTCACACACGACCTAGAAGACAGACACCACACTCTAGGTACAGTACAGTGCTGAAACAACTAATGGAGCCGGAGCACACAACCGGTGCCTATAGCATCAGCCGTAGAACTGATGGGTGGATAGCCGGTGTGAGAGGTCTGGGGCTCCCCCTTCTCCCTCCCGGGGAGGGGGAAGCTGCGCACACAGCGGCGCGGTGACGTGTGACGTCATACTAGTTTGCTTGTTTTCTGTTGAGGAGTTCTATCCACTAGTTCGGCTTTTGGTAGCAATTTTAACCAGAATAGGGGTTTGTTTTGGAATGCTTACCTTTGTGGATGCTTGACCCGGTTGATGGCAGACATAGAATGCTTCCAACCACACAGGGGTTTCTATAGGCCATTGCTCCCTTGCCTCTCTGAGGGGGCCAGGATCTGGCTGTGGTCCCCGGTAGACCCTAGAACTCCATACATGTGACTGATGCCAAAGTCTGACATTAGCATATCAGCCTGGTAAAGCTCCGGAGAGCCGACGGGGCTCCCCCCAGAAATAACCAGGATTCTGATAATGGCAGGATTGTTGTGATAATTAGGGCTGTAGTGGGAGGAGTAATCTTGGTGGGGAGGGAGGTAGCATTGTCTGCTGACTGTGTGTGACCACATTTTACTGTCTGGACCCACTATAGCAGCTTAGTTGTTCGCTATGGTGAACAAAACATGCAGATACTTATATATAACGTCTGTATATAGTGAATAAATGCAAGAACAGAATGGTGGGAGGAGAATGGTGGCAAGTAAGGTGAGGTGACGGAGGGAGCGAGTGACAGCTAGTGGCGGGCTGCCACTTCCTGCCACTGCCACTCAGCTTACCAACTTAGTGGTTCGTTATGGTGAACACAAATGTAGATACTTATATATAACATGTATATATAGTATAATAACAGCAAAAGGAGTGTGCGGGAGAAGCCATTTTGGTGAGGGAGGTGGTGACATCTGCATGATTTATCATGCTGGTAGGGGGATGACCACTATGCTCTTTGGGCACTATACCAGCTTAGTTGTAGTTGTGGTGAACAAAACATGTAGATATTTATATATAACGTCTGTATATAGTGTAATAACACCACAAACAGTACTGTTGGGGGAGAAATTTTAGTGCATCTGACCTTGAATGTGAGAGGAAGGCAGCCACCAGCTGACTGTGTAGCAACGTCTCTTAGTGCCTGAACTAACTGTATCAGCTTAGTTGTACAGTTGTCGTGAACAAAACATGTAGATACTTATATATAACATCTGTATATAGTGAATAAAAGCAAAAACAGTATGGTGGGAGGAGAATGAGGGCGAGTGAATTGTTGTTGAGGGAGGGAGTGGCAGCGAGTGGCTGGCTGGTGTGTGGTGGTCACTCCTCGTTGCATTTTGACTCACAATATCAACTTAGTGGTTCATTATGGTGAGCAAAAGATGCAGATATTTATATATAACCTGTGTATATAGTGCAAATCTATATAGTGTAATAACAGCAAATCTATTTGTTTACTGTTTTATGAACATAACAATTGAATCACTAATATTCACACCATAATTTTAAGTACAGTGATGGTTCACACATTTTATTATAAAAATATATCACAATACACACTATTGAATAATATTACTGCAAAAAAACTATGAAAAATCAATCAGAGACATTGAAATAATTAGGTAATAATATATTTGTGGCAACTGCCGTCTGACAGCTCGGGCGGAGTAGACCTCGTCTGGCGAAGGCTCTGCCAACGCCCCTTTTTTTTGCAGACTTCCCTACCCTATTGCGGCTAAAATATGCCATCTACGATTTTTTTGTTATTTTTTCTGTGATCAGGAACCACAAATGAACACTTTTCTAAGACAAAAGAATTTCTTGGAATTTTTATTTTCTTGCACCTGTGGGTGTTGAAGCCATTATGACCCTTAGTGGCCTAAGGGTTAAAGCCATTCCTACCATATATGACTTAGGGTATTTCCTCTTCAATTCTCCAATAAATATTTCCCCTTGAAATACAGGCAGTGTTCAATGGGATGGAATTGTACTATAAGGTAGCAGTGTCATGTTAAAAGTGTTTATTTCTCACTCCATTTGGGTAAAGCTTAAATAGTTTTCTTCTGAACTGACGTATTTACGTACAGGGACTCTTCCTTTGTGCCTGCTGTAAGGACAGTTGAAGTGTAACCCAACATAGCAGATGACAATCTCAAACATAGATAAGTAGGTACTACACTTACCCTTGATTATTGACCATTTCATGAGCAGCATTAAAGAGTCCTAGTACAGCTTTACGGTCCTCCACTCGAGATAAAAGTATCATCAAAGTGACATAATTGGTTACAAGATCCAGGTAGCCTTTGGTTAGTTCAAAGTTCACATTCTGAAAACAATCATAAAGAAATTAATTTACAAATAAGAATACAATAGTTTGTCTGAGTTTAAAACAAATACAGTTCTATAATCAGGTACCAATAATGTAAGTACAGTATATATAGCTCAGTACTGTACTCACCTAGTTGTGCTTGCGGGGGTTGAGCTCTGGCTCTTTGGTCCCGCCTCTCAACCGTCAATCAACAGGTGTACAGGTTCCTGAGCCTATTGGGCTCTATCATATCTACACTTAGAGAGAGGGGAGTATCAAGTTCCTGAACGGCCACTATAGGTAAATCACTGTATATAACGTTAGTTAGGTACACGCCCAAGGGTTTTCAAATTTTTCAAGCAGATCGCCGAGGACGCCGATGATAGCGTGCCGAGCGGTGTTGGACGCCAGTTAGTCGCCCATGGACATACACATAGGGTGACCTAATACCCTCTTAAGCTAAACAACTTAATAAGTATCAACAACGTGTCAGCAGATTTGAATGCAATCTACTCTGCTGCAGACCACAGACCTCAGACACACCCCGGGCATCAGAGCGTCTACACGCGCTCCCTTACACACTCTACAAGCTAGTTCGTGGCCCGTGTAGAAGATAAAATATATATATATATTTATAATAAAACTAAGAAAAAGCAGTGGACGTTTGGTACTCCAATTCCTGCCCACAACCTAATCATTCTACAACGACATCGACCGATGTTACAGGACGGGACAGAAAAATTAGGAAAGGCGGTGGCGTTGCTGTGCTGGTAAAAGAACACCTAAAGGTGAAGGAAATAATGACTGCCAATCCACAAGAAGTTGACATAATAGCACTAGAGATCTGCTATGAGGATGATAAACTAATGATGATAAATGCATATAGTCCACCGCCAAGCAGCACATGGTCAAAGGAGGAGCTAGATAGTAAACGTGAAGGTCTTATAACAATAATGAGAGAGATTATAGCCAGAGCGGATAACGATAGATCACGACTGTTGATAGTCGGTGACTTCAACTTGAAATCCATAGACTGGGAAGCATATGAAGCTAAAACAGAAGATTTTTGGACCTGTAAATTTGTAGACCTCATCCTGGAAACATTCTTGTATCAACATGTTAAACAAGCTACGAGGATGAGGGAAGGGGACGTTCCCTCCATGCTAGATTTGATATTTACCAGGAAGGAGGAAGAGATATTTGACATTCAGTACCTTCCTCCCTTGGGTAAAAGTGACCATGTCTTTTTGGGAATAAAGTATGCAATGCGTTATAAGCTGGAAGAAAATAAGGAGGTTGAAGCAGTTGAAAAACCAGACTTCAGGAGAGGACATTATGGTGACCTTAGAATTTTTTTTAGTGAGTATAATTGGACAGACTTGATGCTAGGCAAGGAAGTGAATGAGATGTATGGCAAGTTTTGTGAAATATATGATAAAGGCACAAAAAAATTTATACCAAAACAGAGATGCAGAACTAAGAAACAGGATTGGTTCAATAGAAATTGCGAGAGGGCTAGAGACCGAAAGACACAAAAATGGAATCAATACAGGAAGAGGCCGAACCCCCAAACATACCAGCGATACAAAGATGCGAGAAACAACTACACGGCAGTGAGGAGAGAGGCAGAAAGAAATTTTGAAAAAGGGATTGCGGACAAATGTAAAACAGAACCAGGTCTATTCTATAAATTCATAAACAACAAATTGCAGGTAAAGGATAATATTCAGAGGTTGAAAATGGGAAATAGATTCACGGAAGATGAAAAGGAAATGTGTGAAACACTAAACGAAAAGTTTCAAAGTGTGTTTGTACAAAATGAAATCTTTAGGGAACCAGATACAATAAGAATTCCAGAGAACAACATAGAACACATAGAGGTGTCTAGAGACGAAGTGGAAAAAATGCTCAAGGAGCTCGGTAAGAACAAAGCAGCTGGCCCAGATGGCGTTTCACCATGGGTTCTGAGAGAATGTGCATCTGAGCTCAGCATTCCACTTCACCTGATCTTTCAGGCATCCCTGTGTACAGGAATCGTAGCAGACGGGTGGAAACAGGCTAACATAGTTCCAATCTACAAAAGTGGCAGCAGGGAAGACTCCCTCAATTATAGACCTGTATCATTGACAAGTGTAATAGTGAAAGTATTGGAAAAACTAATCAAAACTAAATGGGTAGAACACCTAGAGAGAAATGATATAATATCAGACAGACAGTATGGTTTTCGATCTGGAAGATCCTGTGTATCGAATTTACTCAGTTTCTATGATCGAGCCACAGAGATATTACAGGAAAGAGATGGTTGGGTTGACTGCATCTATCTGGACCTAAAAAAGGCTTTCGACAGAGTTCCACATAAGAGGTTGTTCTGGAAACTGGAAAATATTGGAGGGGTGACAGGTAAGCTTCTATCATGGATGAAAAATTTTCTGACTGATAGAAAAATGAGGGCAGTAATCAGAGGCAATGTATCGGAATGGAGAAATGTCACAAGTGGAGTACCACAGGGTTCAGTTCTTGCACCAGTGATGTTTATTGTGTACATAAATGATCTACCAGTTGGTATACAGAATTATATGAACATGTTTGCTGATGATGCTAAGATAATAGGAAGGATAAGAAATTTGATGACTGTCATGCCCTTCAAGAAGACCTGGACAAAATAAGTATATGGAGCACCACTTGGCAAATGGAATTTAATGTTAATAAATGTCATGTTATGGAATGTGGAATAGGAGAACATAGACCCCACACAACCTATATATTATGTGAGAAATCTTTAAAGAATTCTGATAAAGAAAGAGATCTAGGAGTGGTTCTAGATAGAAAACTATCACCTGAGGACCACATAAAGAATATTGTGCAAGGAGCCTATGCTATGCTTTCTAACTTCAGAATTGCATTTAAATACATGGATGGTGATATACTAAAGAAATTGTTCATGACTTTTGTTAGGCCAAAGCTAGAATATGCAGCTGTTGTGTGGTGCCCATATCTTAAGAAGCACATCAACAAACTGGAAAAGGTGCAAAGACATGCTACTAAGTGGCTCCCAGAACTGAAGGGCAAGAGCTACGAGGAGAGGTTAGAAGCATTAAATATGCCAAAACTAGAAGACAGAAGAAAAAGAGGTGATATGATCACTACATACAAAATAGTAACAGGAATTGATAAAATCAACAGGGAAGACTTCCTGAGACCTGGAATTTCAAGAACAAGAGGTCATAGATTTAAACTAGCTAAACACAGATGCCGAAGAAATATAAGAAAATTCACCTTCGCAAAGAGAGTGGTAGACGGTTGGAACAAGTTAAGTGAGAAGGTGGTGGAGGCCAAGACAGTCAGTAGTTTCAAAGCGTTATATGACAAAGAGTGCTGGGAAGACGGGACACCACGAGCGTAGCTCTCATCCTGTAACTACACTTAGGTAATTACAATTACACTTAGGTAATTACTTGAAACTGTGTATGGAGTCAGCCTCCACCACATCGCTTCCTAATGCATTCCATTTGTCAACCACTCTGACACTAAAAAAGTTCTTTCTAATATCTCTGTGGCTCATTTGGGCACTCAGTTTCCACCTGTGTCCCCTAGTGCGTGTGCCCCTTGTGTTAAACAGCCTGTCTTTATCAACCCTGTCGATTCCCTCGAAAATCTTGAATATGGTGATCATGTCCCATCTAACACTTCTGTCTTCCAACGAAGTGAGGTTTAATTCCCGTAGTCTCTCCTCGTAGCTCATACCTCTCAGCTCGGGTACTAGTCTGGTGGCAAACCTTTGAACCTTTTCCAGTTTAGTCTTATGCTTGACTAGATATGGACTCCATGCTGGAGCCGCATACTCCAGGATTGCTCTGACATATGTGGTATATAATGTTCTGAAAGATTCCTTACACAAGTTTCTAAAGGCCGTTCTTATGTTAGGCAACCTGGCATATGCTGCTGATGTTATCCTCTTGATATGAGCTTCAGGGGACAGGTCTGGCGTGATATCAACCCTTAGGTCTTTCTCTCTCTCTGACTCTTGAAGTATTTCATCTCCCAAATGGTACCTTGTATCTGGTCTCCTGCTTCCTACCCCTATCTCCATTACATTACATTTGCTTGGGTTAAACTCTAACAACCATTTGTTCGACCATTCCTGCAGCTTGTCCAGGTCTTCTTGAAGCCTCAAGCTGTCCTCCTCTGTCTTAATCCTTCTCATAATTTTGGCGTCGTCAGCAAACATTGAGAGGAATGAGTCTATACCCTCTGGGAGATCATTTACGTATATCAGAAACAGGATAGGTCCAAGTACAGAGCCCTGTGGGATTCCACTGGTGACTTCACGCCAGTCTGAGGTCTCACCCCTCACTGTAACTCTCTACTTCCTATTGCTTAGGTACTCCCTTATCCACTGGAGCGCCCTACCAGTTACTCCTGCCTGTTTCTCCAGCTTATGCATCAACCTTTTATGGGGGTACTGTGTCAAAGGCTTTCCGACAGTCCAAAAAAATGCAGTCCGCCCACCCTTCTCTTTCTTGCTTAATCTTTGTCTGTATGTACTGTGGTACATAAACTATGCATACTACACAGTATATGCATATATTCTATTTTCTGGGTTTGCATCTTTCAGTATCCACACTCAGTTTACATCACTGGTTTCTAATTATTGAAGTGTGCTCACCTAGTTGTGCTTACAGGAGGAGGGGGGGGGTGAGCTTTGGCTCTTTGGTCCCACCTCTTGACTGTCCATCAACTGGTAATTACCTAAGTGTAATTACCTAAGTGTAGTTACAGGATGAGAGCTACGCTCGTGGTGTCCCGTCTTCCCAGCACTCTTTGTCATATAACGCTTTGAAACTACTGACGGTCTTGGCCTCCACCACCTTCTCACTTAACTTGTTCCAACCGTCTACCACTCTATTTGCGAAGGTGAATTTTCTTATATTTCTTCGGCATCTGTGTTTAGCTAGTTTAAATCTATGACCTCTTGTTCTTGAAGTGCCAGGTCTCAGGAAATCTTCCCTGTCAATTTT